ATCAGAAATGAGCGAGGAGAAATAACAACAGACTCTGCAGAAATACGACAGATTATAAGAGAATACTACAAAAAACTATATGCCAACAGAATGGATAACCTAGAGGAAATGGATAAATTCTTGGACTCCTACAATCTCCCAAAGCTCACTCAAGAAGAGGCAGACAATTTGAACAGACCAATCACAAGGAAAGAGATTGAAACAGCAATCAAAAACATCCCAAAGAATAAAACCCCAGGACCAGATGGCTTTCCTGGGGAATTCTACCAAACTTTCAGAGAGGATTTAATACCTATCCTTTTCAAGCTATTCCAAAAAATTAGGGAAGATGGAACACTTCCTAACACATTCTATGAGGCCAACATCACGCTGATACCAAAACCTGACAAGGACACCACAAAAAAAGAGAACTAGAGGCCAATATCACTGATGAACATAGATGCAAAAATTCTAAACAAAATTTTGGCAACCAGAATTCAGCAATTCATCAAAAGAATCATACATCAGGATCAGGTGGGATTCATACCAGGGACAAAGGGATGGTTCAACATCCGCAAATCAATCAACGTGATACACCACATCAACAAACTGAGGAATAAAAACCACATGATCATCTCAATAGATGCAGAGAAGGCATTTGACAAGATCCAACAGCCATTTATGATAAAACTCTGAACAAAATGGGCATAGAAGGAAACTACCTCAACATAATAAAGGCCATATACGACAAACCCATAGCCAACATCATACTCAATGGGCAAAAACTGAACCCCATCCCCCTGAAAACAGGAACGAGACAAGGATGCCCTCTATCACCACTCTTATTTAACATAGTACTGGAGGTCCTGGCCAGAGCAATCAGGCGAGAAAAAGGAATAAAAGGAATCCAAATAGGGAGGGAAGAAGTGAAACTGTCACTGTTTGCAGACGACATGATCTTATATATAGAAAACCCCAAAGAATCCATTGGAAAACTGTTAGAAGTAATCAACAACTACAGCAAAGTTGCAGGGTATAAAATCAATTTGCATAAGTCAGTAGCATTTCTATACTCCAGTAATGAACCAACAGAAAAAGAACTGAAGAATACAATACCATTCACAATCGCAACAAAAAGAATAAAATACCTTGGGATAAATTTAACTAAGGAAGTGAAGGACCTATATAATGAAAATTACAAGGCCTTTCTGAGAGAATTGGATGACGACATAAGGAGATGGAAAGACATTCCATGTACATGGATTGGAAGAATAAACATAGTTAAAATGTCCATTCTACCTAAAGCAATCTACAGATTCAACACCATCCCAATCAGAATCCCAATGACATTCTTTACAGAATTAGAACAAAGAATCCTAAAATTCATATGGGGCAACAAAAGACCCCGAATTTCTAAAGCAATCCTGAGAAAAAAGAACAAAACGGGAGGCATCACAATCCCTGACTTCAAAACATACTACAAAGCCACAGTAATCAAAACAGCATGGTACTGGTACAAAAACAGGTGCACAGATCAATGGAACAGAATTGAAAGCCCAGAAATAAAACCACACATCTATGGACAGCTTATCTTTGACAAAGGAGCTGAGGGCATACAATGGAGAAAAGAAAGTCTTTTCAACAAATGGTGCTGGGAAAACTGGAAAGCCACATGTAAAAGAATGAAAATTGACCATTCTTTTTCACCATTCACCAAAATAAACTCAAAATGGATTAAAGACCTAAAGGTGAGACCTGAAACCATAAGCCTTCGGGAAGAAAACGTAGGCAGTACACTCTTTGACATCAGTATTAAAAGGATCTTTTCGGACACCATGCCTTCTCAGAGAAGGGAAACAATAGAAAGAATAAACAAATGGGACTTCATCAGATTAAAGAGCTTCTTCAAGGCAAATGAAAACAGGATTGAAACAAAAAAACAACCCACTAACTGGGAAAAAATATTTGCAAGTCATATCTGACAAAGGCTTAATATCCATAATATATGAAGAACTCTCACAACTCAACCACAAAACATCAAACATCCCAATCAAAAAATGGGCTGGAGACATGAACAGACATTTCTCCAAAGAAGATATACTGATGGCCAATAGGCACATGAAAAGATGCTCATCATCGCTGATCATCAGGGAAATGCAAATCAAAACTACACTAAGATATCACCTTACACCCGTTAGAATGACAAAAATATCTACAACTAATAGCAACAAATGTTGGAGAGGTTGCGGAGAAAAAGGAACCCTCATACACTGCTGGTGGGAATGCAAACTGGTGCAGCCACTATGGAAAACAGTATGGAGATTCCTCAAAAAACTAAAAATAGAACTACCATATGATCCAGCCATCCCACTACTGAGTATTTATCCAAAGAGCTTGAAGTCAGCAATCCCAAAAGTCCTGTGCACCCCAATGTTTATTGCAGCACTGTTTACAATAGCCAAGACGTGGAAGCAACCTAAGTGCCCATCAACAGACGAATGGATAAAGAAGATGTGGTACATATATACAATGGAATACTACTCAGCTGCAAAACAGAACAAAATCATTCCATTTGCAATAACATGGATGGACCTTGAGAGAATTATGTTAAGTGAAATAAGCCAGCGAGAGAAGGATAATCTGTGTATGACTCCACTCATATGAGGAATTTAAAAGTATGGACCAAGAACAGTTTAGTGGATACCAGGGGAAAGGTGGGGTGGGGGGTGGGCACAAAGGGTGAAGTGGTGCACCTACAACATGACTGACAAACATTAATGTACAATTGAAATTTCACAAGATTGTAACCTATCAATAACTCAATAATAAAAAAAAAAAACCATCTGTTGTCTTAAGTTCCCCTCTAAATTTGAGGGGGACTTGTTACATAGCAATAGATAACTAATATAGATATCCAGAGGAAAATGATAAGACTGTCTCTTCTGAGACATCCAACATTGAACTGAATGGCAAAAGATGAGCATGAACTGTAGGAATAAAAGCCTGCTATATTTCTTCCGCACCACGCACGTGTACATGCGAGCATGTGCACATGCAGACACACTGGTGCACACACATCCTCACTCTCTGTGTCCATATAACTACAAAGGTAGCAGTAATTCTCCATCATTATAATCCAGAAGGTATGTAGGTTAATTGAAGGGTAGGGCTGGACATATGAGTGTAGTCAGGGGACAATAAATCAAGGAACATCTTACTGTGGGACAAATGAAGAGGGGGTGTAGCTTGTCCTGGCACTATTGGAAGGGCAGGAGAAGGGAGGGAGGGAGGAAGGAAGGAAGGGACAGAGGGAGAGAGGGAGAGAAGGAGAAAGAAATTGTACCCTGCTTGAATATAAAGGCCACAACACCCAAGAGCTGAGGTAAAATGCATAGATGGAATTTTAAGAAATATTTTCTAAAATATTCCACGCATCGCATGCATTAAATTGGTTCGAGCATCCTCTAAGGCACTGTCAGCAAAATGTGGACAGCGAAGCATAGAAACCAGACTAGACGTTTTGTTCCTTGAGGCATATTTCTGCACCAAGAATCCCAATGTACAAAGCTGCCTTTGGAGGACAGAAAAATTAAACAAGTGGGAAGTGCCTTGGGGAACATTTGGTTTTATTCATTCACTGGATGAGTAAAGAACTTGAGGCCCAGAGAGGTGAAGTGATATGCCCAAGTCCTCACAGCTGATGCAGAGCAGAGCTAACAAGAGGCCCCCCGGCTCCCAGGCTGGCTTACTTTTCACGGAATCGCTAGATCAGGATCCCAGATTTGTGAGAAAAGAAACTTTAGCAGCAAAGGGAACATCAAGAGACCAGTTGCTAAAAATGGAGAGAGCAGAGTGATTGCCTAGACTAGGAAGAGACAAAAATGGAACTGCCAGAATCGTGAGAGTAGAAATGGAAGATATTAAAACTCAATTTTGCTATTGATTTCAAGCAAGAATATAACAGCAGGATGGGTTTCTCCAGAGATGCTGGAGTTCAGGCTATGTGGTTACCAATATAAAGTAGCCCATAAAGTAAATAGTCATTTTACACAAATTAGACGAGAACTGATTTTCACTGCAATCTGTTAAAGAAACAAACAGACTGAAACTCGGCATCAGTCGCCATTAGCCACAAATATTGGCATTCTGGAAACTGTATGCAAATGATCTATGCAGCAAAGGCCCAAATTGGAATGTGTTCAGGGCGCTTAATGCATCCTGTGACTCAGCTCAGTACTTCAAGGAGGTGGTCAGCACATTCTAAGCAAATGGCTCGTGGAGCAGCACGTTCAGAATTAGTCTGGGTTTGCTTGCTCTTTGTCAATCGCCGAGATGTTTGCAAACACTTGTATATGTGCGTGTGTGTTCATTGAAGACAAGATGGAGGTGGAAAAGAGTGGGGAAATTCCTGCCGATACGCAGATGCAGGCGAAGCTTGAGCTTGAGATCAACATGAAGTCCTCTATTTTACAGCCCCAAACAGTGAGATTTGGTTAAAGTTTACCAGTGGCATTGTTAAGCTGCCAGATTTCTGAGCCGTGAATTAAAATCCATGTTTTTTGTTTTGTTTTCCTATTTGTTTTTGTTTGGTTTTGAGTCAAGAAATACGTCTTCTCGAGATGGTGACAAAATAAACAAAAAATAAGCAATTTAGAAAAACTTCCTGAAGAGCAGCTTCATATCAAAAGCCTGCCGGATACTTACATTAGTGAATAGGTTTCAGGTGGTCCTATAGTCTTTATTATGACCTTCACGCCACCAGGCAAGACACTCCAAGTTCATGCTTCTCCATGCCCTTGGCAGAAGCTCATTTAGTCTGACTGCTGACAGGGAGTCCCTGCAAAGACTGAACAAGGGACCAGAGCCAGCCAACTGGAATGTTCTGGAAGCACATGCTTCCCCCAAAGGGTCAAAAGACACGCAACTAACAGCAAAATGCATCAACCAGGCTCCCACACTGAGCCCCCAAATGTTGATTTACTATTTGGTGTCTTATTGTTTTCATAATCACAGCCCTAACACCAGGTTGAAAAGAGAAAGAATATGCTGGGTAGGATTATACCAATAAGGAAAATTTTAATAGAAACATAAAACCTTAAAACTCCTATAAAAATGCTGGATCGTGAGGCCAGGACTAAGTGAAAGGAATGAGGAGAATTTGCCTGGTGCTGGACACGGACGGCAATCTCATCTGGGGAACGTCCAGCGTACATTTCATTCTCTTCTGAAAAATATCAAATAGGGGCTCCAATAAGATTCCAGACAGAGTTCATCTGACAGCTTTTGCAGTCGGCAAAATACCTTCAGTTAATTAGAAAGGCAAAACCGTGTGTGTACATATACAAAAGGCAGATGTGCAAAAGTAAATACCACCCTAGGCTGGCCCAGAGCCAGTGACCATGTGACCTAAACCCCCCTCCCTAATTTCAGTGGGCTGAAGTCTGGAAAAGTGGTTAACTATCTAAATGCAAGTGTTACTGCTCCGTGCCCCCCAGGGAAGGCTGGGAGAGAGAGGAAGGCTCTTATATCCTAATTAAAAGTCCAAGCTTTTGCCCCATGGAATGCAAAATGCCTTTGGATACAGGAAACTGTTCTTTATCCAGCTACACTCATAAAGCTGTCAATAAGTTGAGAAAGTGGCCTTGATAGTGCGAAAAAAACCACCTCTTTTAAAGCACTGGCTGCTAATAAAAATCTTTTCTGTTTAATGAAGTTCAACAAATCATCTAGGATCATATAAATAGCAAATTTAACAGCAAATTAGCAAGGCTTATAAAATATATGACCACTTAGGCAGCAAGAAAAGCCAAAAATCAAGGTTGGAGAATTACTAAATTATGGCTAAAAGATTTTTTTTTCTTTTTATGCTTTTCATTGGAAGCCTTTAAAAATGTATTTTGAATGACTAAACTGCCTTTAAAAGGGGATATAATTAAACTAGCTGCATTTGTGAGGGTCAGGGCCTCTCACACTTGATAACCACCAGAAAATGAGTAATGATTTGCTCACCAGGAGGCATGTGCGCAGAGCATTCAAGCCTGGCCACGTCCAGCATATCAGCTTCCGGTTAGCTGAGAATGGATGCTAGCCTTCTCGTACAAAGACAGCCACTGCAGTTGTGAAAAAAAAGGCCACGTGATCTCTACAGATTCTAATGCTTTCAGAGAAATAACATAGCTACTTCTGTTTATGAAACTGACAACCGTTTAAAGAGTCTCTCCCAAAGCTGGGAGCCCGATTCTGCTTTGAAGAAGTCATTAATACCATCACCAGAAGATTTCACCTGTCAATTCTCCACCGTCTTCTTTCCCTGTTATAGAGATTCTCATCACTTGTGCTCTGCCACACAGGTGGGAGCGTTACTGAACTAGCACATTCCTGATGTGTCATAGAAGGTTGTGTGGACTCTGCGTTAAAACCAAATTCTCAGACATGGTAACTTTGCAATAGAAAGTCCTTTCCACCAAATCTTGGAGCATACAATCTCTGCTGCACTCTGAACCATTTTTAGGAAAATTTGAAAGGGAAAAAATATTCAACACTTTTGAAGTTTCCATCTTAAATAAGTATTAGAAGAGTTGACATATTTAAGATGATTTCTCAACTGGTTTTCTTTAAGCTATTGCTGTGCTTCGTGAACTTTTGTTTCTAAGGGTACTTTTTCTAGAACATCAGGGGGGCCTGCCCAGTGGCACAGTGGCTAAGTTTACACGTTCTGCTTTGGTGGCCTGTGGTTTGCCGGTTCAGATCCTGGGTGTGGACATGGCCCCGCTTGGCAAGCCATGCTGTTGCACGTGTCCCACATATAAAGTAGAGGAAGATGGGCACAGATGGTAGCTCAGGGCCAGTCTTCCTCAGCAAAAACAGGAGGATTGGCAGCAGGTGTTAGCTCAAAGCTAATCTTCCTCAAAAAAAAAAAAAGAACATCTGGAAGGATGACAGCTGAAAATAAACATCTCATTCTTTTTCTTCATCCTCCTCACCTCTTAAAAATTAAAGAAAATGACTATCAGAAACACAAAGGAGGAAAGGAACTGTGTGTTCTTCCCTAGCATTGAATCAAGGAAAGGGTCCCTTCTGTGCCTGCAGACTTTGGATTATTGTCACCCGCAAGTGAGGATGAACATACCAATGATGGAGATGGAAGGGAGGTGACTGTTCCAGGCGTTTAGAGCAGCGCTCTCCGGCAGAAATATGACGCAATACACAAAGTGAGCCATACATGTAAATTTCAAAACTTCTAGCAGCCACATTTTTTAAAAAAGTAGAACGAAGTTGGTGAAATTAATTTTAAATCTCTTTTATTTAACCCAATATATCCAAAGTATCATCATAGCAACATGCGATCAGCTTATAAAAATCATTAATGAGATATTTTAGCTTTTCTTCATACTAAGTCTTCAAAATCCAGTGTGCATTTTATACTCAGAGAACTTCTCAGACTAGCCACATTTCAAGCGTTCAGTAGCCACGTGTGGACTGTGGCTACCATACATGGGAGAGTACTTTTAGAGGACACGTACGTGCAAGTACACCAAAAAGAGAACCAGGGCACAAGCCTTCTCCTTGAAACATCTTGTCCTTCAAATTCAGGAATTCATATTTCTGAACTGCTGGGGCCACTCCCAAAGTTTCAGGAACCCCGCCCCCCAAATCTATGCCCTATGCACCAGGAAGATGCAGTACACTATTTACTGACTGGAGGGTGAACAGAACCGAAAATCACGTGCAGAAAAATTGCTTTCTCCTACGTCTTCCTCCTGGCTACCACTACAAATGCACGTACACAGCACGCTCATTTTAATAAATACAAAGATGAAATTACATAAGACCAAATGTCCCCACAAGTATTTCTGGAGTAATACAATAATTATTTTTAAAACAAGAGAGAAAATGATTCAACGAGACAATTAAATTCAGCATATATATTGAGGACCTGTTAGTATTCCTCACTTGTTCTAGGGTCTGAGGATACAAAAGAAAGAAATGCTCTCTAGGAGATCCATCCTTGGGGAAAAAGACACACAAACATGTAAAATAGCTAAATAACAAAGAAAATAAGAACGTGATTAGCCATCAAAATGAAGGAGCAAAAAGTTAGGGCCAACCACCAAGTTGGAAGGAACAGTCCACACAGGATTGCCTTCACTTCTGAGACCAACTGCACATTTGAAGGCATCTTACTTCAAACATCTTTAGTGTCCAGCCCCTTCTAGAGGTTAGCTCAGGGCTAATCTTCCTCAAGCAAAAAAAAAAAAAGAAAAAGAAAAAATCAGTCAAGGGAAGAGACGCATAGGGCAGAGTCCAGGAAATTTCCAAGCACAAAGCTTCCGCTCATCCTTTCCCCAGTGGATTTGTGGATGGAGTTAACTCCTCTCAGTCGCTACACATAACAATATGCAGGGAGTATTGCCAACCTGGCAATCTCGCCCTAGCCTTTGGGGTGCAGAGTTTTTACTGGGGCCCACTCCCTACTGTTTGCACGGCTGACCTTTAGTATTCAGCTCCTCCCAGAGGTCAGGTTAATATCTTTCGTCTCCAGTCCCTCCACAGTCCAGAACTGATACCACATGGCTCAAAGTCTCAAATATGCATCATATTATTAGACCGTCCAGTGGCCAGAGCCTCCAGGCAAACAAAGACATTCCAGGTGCCTAGAGATCACCTCCCAGTAGCTGAGTACAAAGGCCAGATATCTCTTTGGATAAGATTAATTCTTCACTAGACAGAAAGGTCCAGAAACTGTCAGAATTTAGAAAGATCGGTGTGGACTGGAAGAATCAGAAAGGATATTAAACATTAAACATTAAAGTGAGTTGAATTCTAATAAAAATGGAGAAGCTTTAGAGCTCATTGAGCAAGGGAGCAGCAAAATGTCCCTTAAAAGAGAATTTTTAGAAGATTAATGTGATTATGAACTCCGTTTTCCCCTCTCTCTCTTCCCATTCTCTTCCGAGGAAATAATACCCAGTCTCATGTTTTTAAACAAGTTGGTAGTGCTCTAGTTTACATCTCTAGACTTGAACTTTATCTAGAGCTCCAGACTCATACGACCCACAGCCTATCTGACATTTCCACTGGGATGTCAAATGGGCATCTCAACATGTCCAAAGACAACTTGTGACCTTTCCCTGCTCCTATCCACCTCTCATCTCAATATGGCACCGTGAGTGACCCAGTTGCTCAAGAAAAGACTTCAAGGTATCCTTAATTCCTCTTCTTCTCTCAACCAATATCTAGTCCAGCAGCAAGAATATCCCAGATCCAAATTATATCTTAAGGTGTGCAACCACATCCAGCCAATCCTACTGCCACAAGCCTAGTCCAAGCCATCGTCATCTCTCATTTAGATTCCTCTCATAGCCTACTCAGCAGTTGTCTTCTTTCCCTCCACAAGCCATTCTCTGCACAGCAGCCTGAGTGATCTCCTTAAAGCATAAATCGTATAACGTCACACCTCTACTTAAAACCGTTCAGTGGCGCTTCCCAACTCACTTAAAATAATACACAAACTCCCACCATCCCCCTCAAAGCCCTGAATGGTGCAGCCACCTCAGACTTCATCTCACATGCCTCTCTCTCTTATTCTCCGTCCACGCTGGCTTTTCTCCTGTTCCTTGAACACAATGAGCTCTTCCCACGTTTGGACCTCTGCACGCTATTCTCTCTCTTCAGGAAGCTTTTCTCTCAGATCTTCTCACGGCTGTATCTTCTTATCATTTAGGTCTCAGCTCCCTTGAGCTCTTCCCTGACCATCGAATCTGACTGGCAATCACTTCCAATCACTGTCAGAGCACCCTGTTTGCTTTTCTTCATATCAAGTATCACTCTCTTGACTTGGTTTGTGTATTTATTTTGGTTTGTTTACTTGTTTATTGTCTTTCTCTCTTACTAGAATATAAACTTCAAACAAGTAAAATCTTGTCCACTTTGCTTACTTCTCAGTATTTTCAGTCCCTACCACAGAGCCGGACAAATAATATGCACCTTATCAGATGATTGTTGAATGAACAACAGTGGAGTTCAGGATTTATTATAGGCATTCAAAATTGTTAAGAAGAAAAAGTCCATTTTTTCATGTTTCCTTTTTATTGAAACTCCTTTTTCGTGTGTGACTCCTGCTCTCCAACAGTAAATTATAATTATGTTTATCCTCAACCTTATCATGACTAGCTCCTTCAAAAAAGCTAAGGCACCCATTCACTCTAAAATGTAAATGACTGATAAAGTTAAATGTGTTAAGGCTTTTGGGACAAAGAAGTTGAGACAAAGCACAAAATCAGTGATTTTTAGGCTGTGGCTTTCCCAAACCATGTAAGGTGAAATTCTTGGCTTCTCAATTCATCCAGCTTTTCTATTAGAGTATTTTTTCATGCTGAGCTCTCCAGAGTACATAGTCACCTTGTATTATTTTTAGTTAACGGCGATTGGACAAGTGACTTCACAGACAGGAGCCAATGGAATGGAGCCTCAGTGATAAGATTTCTAGCCAGCTGAGCTGGAGAGTCTGGAGTCTGCAAGACTTTCTCAAGCTCCTTAGAACGGATCTACCTAAGTGTGCCCAGCCCTGGTTAGGAGAATGAGGAAAATGGAAGTACAAAGTATTTTAATATTACTTACGGGGGTTTAGTGAGATCCTGGACTGAAATCTCAGGAAGCAGTAGAAGTCAAAGGGAAGAGATATTTTGAACAAATAAATACAGCAAATTGCAACTGCTTAGAAATGGGGACAACAAACAGTAAAACATCGAATGTGCTGCCGAGATATTGAGCCTTGTTGCAAAGTGAACAATAGAAAGCTTTGATGAAAATAGAAAAATTGAGATGTGTAAATAAATTTGGTGAGGAAGAATGTGTCAAGTTTGGAGTAATGGTAGAACAGCTCTCCATAAACGTCCAAAGGGCAGTTAGGAAATAGGAGAATGGAGTTAGAAGGTAGCTTGGTACTAAAGATCAGACGTTGGTAACCCATGGCCTCACCTGCACATGGAAAGCCCCAAGTGATATAAATGAGAAGTCCTAGGTCCTGAAATAGGCACAGACAAAGGGAGATGTCATAATTTGTGGCACAGGCACAGAAAATAGGAGCTTCATAAATATGAATCAACAA